GGGAAGGTATACGGGCTTCCTACTAAGAAATTTCATCGCTATAAGTGTGGAATGCAAGGAATAGGGACTTCCTCGCAAGGCGAGCAACTTGATGGGGAGAGCCTCTCCGCTATGTGGGAGACTATGACAAAGCTCACATCCGAGCTAGAAGTGGCCAAGGAAAGAGAAAGGATTAGAGATGCTCAGTTCCTTGGCATGCAAGCTCAGATCAGAACTCTCCTATCTACTGGAGCTTTTTCGTTGCTCCGGTCTCGTGAGTCATCACCAGAGACTCGACTTGAACGTGAGCGTTCCTTCCGTCCTCCCCGTGATCATTTCTCTCGACCTCCCCGTGGTCGTTCTTCCCGTCCTCCACAAGACCCTTCTCGACACCGTCTTTTAGATGAAAGTTCATCAGACGATGATGATGATGTTGTACAAAACACTCCTTCACTTTTATATACTTTGAACTAGACAAGTAGAACCGGTTTTGAACTAATTGTAATAAGTTTGAACTTGGTTTTGGATTTTTTAGTTCCATTGAACTTTAATTTGTTAGTTTTAATGTATTTATTGAATTGTGTTGTTGTTGATGTTGTTGTTGTTGTTGTTGTGTTGTTGTTGTTGTGTTGTTGTTGTTTAGAGATTTTGGTATGCCGGCAAGTGGTGTAGCTGCCAAAACAGGCATTTTCTGCCAAAATTAAAACCAAGAAAACCGACCAAAGTTGGTTGGTTCCTAATTAAAAAAAAAATTGTTGATTAGCGACCAACCTTAGTTGCTTAATTTTAAAAAATAAAAATAAAAATTACCGACCAATGTTGGTCGGTTATTGAACAAGGATTGCCCAGATTTCAACTTTACCGACCAACTTTGGTCGGTATGGTTAAATTTTAATTTTTTTAAAAATATATATATATTACTTTACCGACCAACTTTGCTCGCTAATTTTTAAATTTTAACAATTAATAACATAACGTAATTTAAATATACCGACCAACTTTGTTCGGTAAAATTAAATTATTAAATATTATTACCGACCAAAGTTGGTCGGTTTGTGCTTTAAATTGCACAGTTGGTCTTTTTATTTTTGCGACCAACCTTGGTCGGTATGCTAAAACGACCACCAAAATAGCGACCAAGCCTGTTTGGACGAGTTTTGGTCGGTAATTTGGCTAAACCGACCAACATTGATCGCTTTTTTGGGTCGCTAATTACCGAATTTCTAGTAGTGAGATCCGAGGTATTCAAACAAGCGATGATGATGAGGATAAAGACTCTATTTTCTTTATAAGTTTTCATGAAGTTTGCCATGTAAAAACAAATGAAGCAACGAAACAAGCCAGGCCCTTGTCCCATGTCATTTTGGATTTTAGATGTGTGAACCGCAATTCGCAAGTCTTCCGTAAAAAACTCAAAAAACAAGTTTCCATACTCAAAAACTCCAAAATCTCAAACAAACGACTATTGATTTTCAACTTAAGGAACCTTTAAACTTTAAAGGCACAAACTTTGACAGCATCAAGAGGGTTAACAACGTTGTCAAACTTATAACTCTGCCATGTTAATTCCGTATATGGCTGACAAAAACTTGTGAGGTTGGACTTTGTGATTTGAAGTCTTAACATGAATCATGATTGAAAATAGTAAAAATTAATATGTATCTTGCATTTAAAAAATATATAGTACAAGTTTTCAATTAGTCAGATTCAGATATTATAATTTTAATAAATACAAACGGGATCTGAATAGGCTAATAGACTAACTAAATGAACTCGCGGAACCAATAAATGTGGCTTTTCATATTTTGGGACCAGATCCTATAGCTTGTGCATGAGCCCGTGATAAACGTATTGATGTTGAATAAAACCAATCTCCCAGGGTCCCAGCTCAAGCCTTAGCTATTAATTAAACCATATGCCTATTTGGGTAATGGAAACAAATTGGCATACAACGTCTTACATTATTGCTAGACAAGACATTGATCACCATTACTTGACTCAACAAATTCCCAATAATTCATTCGGAAATCGATCGGCATATGGCTTCAACACTAGCGGAACATAACTGAAACCCATTTAACATAACAAATACCCCTAACACGTTATGAATAAGCCAAAAGATGAAGTAACTGCGCGTTTTTGTAAGGAATAGTAGTACTATAGTAAGCTTTTCACTTTAAATTGTGGCACTGTTGAAGTTCATTGTAAGGCCAAAGATTTGCCATTTGCGCAATCTGTAGGAGTGAGTGTCCCACAATCACAAGGACAAATGCTGCAGAGCGTGGTAAAGTATACAATCAGCTACATGTGACAACTCTCTCTCTCTCAATCATTGTAAAAGGGCAACCCGATGCACTAAGCTCTCGCCATGTATGGGGTCCGGGGAAGGGCGGGATCACAAGGGTCTGTTGTACGCAGTCTGACCCTGCATTTTTGCAAGAGGCTGTTTTCATGGCTCGAACTCGTGACCTCCTGGTTACATGATAGCAATTTTATCAATTACGCTAAGACTCTCGTTCAATCATTGTGAATCAAAGATATTTGTGGATATAAGTTAAAGAAAATTTCTGCCAGCTGCGACTTGATTGATTATCCAAAAGAGGGGACCGCAATGAGAATAGCATACTCCAGCTTCACTTGTACAAAAGACCTTTTCTTTAATCTATAACAAGGACATATAGGTGGTTTGGCGGGAGGTATTAGAAAAAATAATGCAAGCATTAGCTCTATGCATTACTAATATCTTGTTTGGTACCTTTTTTCAACTTGTGTATAACTAATTAGTTATACATTATACTTGGCATTATCCTATGCATAAGTAATGCATAGAAAACCATGGTATTAGTAATACCAAAGCTTTAATGCATGCATTAGCATGGTTAAAAACAAAATTGTTCTTAAAGTCCCTTAAAACTAGAAAATATGGAAGGCATTTTTGAAAGCAACTATTTTTTAAAAAAATTATGCAATGCATTATAATTTTAATACACCACACCAAACAATAGATAAAAATAATATTTGCATAACTAATGTTTGCATTACTAATACACATTATTCCACACTATTCTTATACACCCTACAAACGACCCCATAGTGTCTTAGCAAGTAGTTTCCTCAGTTTGTACAATGGGAAAAGCCGTATATAATGATGTGTTCTTTAAGAGCCTGTATAGATGGGCTTAAAAGCTGGTCAAACCACCAGCTTTTAAGTCATTTTTTAGCTTATTGAGGTGTTTGGCAAACTTAAAATCTGCTTAAAGGTCAAATGTTTTTAAGCCAAAAGGTCCAAATTAAGTCAAAAGTGATAAGTTGGGAATCTCAACTTTTTTTTTCTAGCTTAAAAGACACCCCTCTTTGACCAAATATTTTACATTGCTATCCCTGGTACTTATGTATAATTTTCAAAATACCCAATCATTTCTTTTTCTCCTTTCCTCCGCCATTTTCAATCTTTGCCTTCTAAATTCCATAATCTTTTCTTTTTCTCCTTTCCTTTACCATTTCCAATTTGTGCCTTCCAAATTCCATCACTGCGGAACTCTTTGTTTTGTTTTAGTTTTTTTTTTTTTGGTTCCATAACATTTTTTTTAAAAGATTGTTGTTGAATCCCTCATTTTTTGAATTGGTGAAACTATATTATAAATCAATATTTTCAATGAGTCTACATGTTAACAAAGAATTTGAAGCTATTAAACGAAAAAATATATTTTGGTGAAATAATAGATTATTGCATGTTATTTAAATAAATAATTTATATTTAGGCAATCAGTTTAAATTGAAAATGAACTAAATTATAATTCTTTGTATATGTATTAATTTAGAATAAAATATTATCATAATCATTTTCTTTATAGTATTAACAACTTTAAGGATATTTCAGTCATTTTACAGAAACAAGTGCTTACCAGCACTTATTTACCAAACACTTCAATAATTTTTTTTAAGTTTCAGCACTTTTATCCAAACACTTAACTGTTGATTTATAAAACAAGCTCTAACACTTAAAAAGTGTTTTTAAGCACTTATACTTAAAAGTCACTTTTTTTAAGCCAATCCAAATGGGCTCTAAGTCAGAAAATAAAACTTCTTGATGAAATCATTTTTGGCCACCTTGAATTAATTTAATATTTGCTTTTTCCAAGAAATGTTTCTACCAAAATTTAAAAAAATAACTTCAACTATTCATGTACGAAAGTTATCTCAAGTCACCAAAGCATTGTCCTCTCATCTTATCATCTATCTATAATAACGTTAACTTTTTTTTTTTGACGTGGTGTTTTGATCCTAGCCAGCATGCACGCACGTCGATTATTTTACTAGATATCTTTTACTATGGCGTATTAAGGATTTTTAGATTATGGGTGCTCAACTATACTTATTTTTTGAAAGTTGCTACTTGGACTGGTTGCTTAGTTAGAATATTTGTATAAATTACTATTTATTTTTTTTGTATAAGTAGTAGTGTTGCTTTCAAAAGCAAAGGGTTCTAAAGCACCCATATGATATATAATGCGGATCCGCCACTTTTCTGCCCTTGTCGGAATTTAATCTTGAGACCTCATGGTTCTCCGAACACTTTACTAACCACTAAGACACGCTCTTCGCCAATTCTTTTACCTAATACTTCCTCCATTTACTTTTACTTGGCATTAGTACTAAAAATAGATTTTCATTTTTACTTATCACACATATCAAGATAAGACAAAAAAAATTCCTATTATACCCACAGTATTTATTACTCATTTCAAATCATTTTCTCAAATCCAATAAAATATGCATCAATTAATATAGGTATTATGGTAAATTATACACTTTATTTATTATTTATTAAAGAGCGTGAAAAGTTAAAATGTGCAAAGTAAAAGTGATCGGAGGGAGTACTAATCAACAAATCAATTTTCGTGAAAATACTCTACATGAAGAACACCACATTAGGGAAGTTTGTGTGGAAAGAACTTGTAGTAGTAAATTGTAAGAGGCATGCCAATGTAGATACATACTAAAGTGAAAACCCACAAAAGAGACAAGAATGATGATCAAAATGTATTTAGAAAGGACAACACATAATCCTCAAAATATATATCTGTACATCAACAATCTCTCTCTCTCTATTCTCTCTATCTCTCTCTACTAGTATTATGACACAGCAACAACTCCTCAAATTTTGATGCAACAAACTGCCAAGAGAAGCACTGAAAGAAGAGCCAATGGTTGAAATACCAAGTGGGCCGACCTATCATAAATTCAATCCGTCTGTCATTCAGAGGAATCTTTTCCAGAAACCAACTTCGAAAATCCTTCATTGGGTTACTGAAAAAGCTTTTAAATCTCAATGTGGGGTTGGTGTGTGGGGTTAAGATGCAATTATACATTCCACTTAAGAGTCATGTGCCTTTGTGTCAGTGTTCCTATCCAAGAATTGTATCAGATGTACTGCTATCTGCTCTCCCCACCTCAGCTGAGCTGCAACAACTCTCCTTCACTGATTCTATTTCCATGCTCGCTGTTCTACTTCTTCTGTTTCTTCGGTCCTGTTACAAACATCAGACTATGCTTTTTAATATATTTCAAGATCAAGAATAGTACCCCATTGAAAAACCATATACATAAATATCAACCATGGATTTGAAAGTATTCATATAGCCGACCCCAATAAAAACGAGCTTAAAAGAGCGACAGACGGTGAGGATTCATATAGTCGACCTCAACTTGCTTAAAGTTGAGGTATAGTTGTTTTTTATACGAAAAATGTTCATATGCCTAGTGATTCAAACGAAAAGATAAAATTTGGACATAGCGCAGAGTGAAAAGATATAACTGCAACCTTATTTGAGGTTATGTCAGCAGTTCGCATGGACAAAATACAACAGTGGTACTATTCACCACAAAAAAAGCAAAACTTCTACATTACCCAATATTCCTTTTCATTTGGCTAAGAAACTTTACACTGCTCTTTATGGATGTGCAAAGCTAGAGCAGGCTTAAAGCATTGTCTTACTAACAAATATTTAGAATACTATTTCTAACTTGAAAACATTCTAAGGGGTCGTTTGGTACGCGGCTTAAGGTGGGGGATTAAATTTATACTGTATTTGGTTGGCGGTACAGGATAAATTTATACCTCCAACCACACAGTATGAATTTAATCCCAAACGCAATCCTGGATATCCCACCTTATCCCATGAAACGGGATTATTTTATCCCGCCTCCCAGGTGGGATGAATTAATCGAGGGGGGGGACTATAATCCCGGGATAATTTAGTCCGCGTACCAAACGACACCAAAAGGTTTGGTTGATATCTCAGGTTCCTTGAAAGGAAGCTTTCGTTATAGCCAAAATGAAGACAAAAAGAAAGATCATATGGAGTGGAGATATGAAAGTCAGATATGGAGTATACCTCGCGATAAGGAAGTTCTTCAGTTTCAAGCATTCGAACTACTTGGCTCATTCTGGGTCGCTTCTCTGAGTCCGGATCAACACATCTCAGTGCGACCAGAAGCGCCCGTTTTAAAGCACGAGTACCAGGCCTAACTTCAAGGTTAGGATCCACAACTTCCTCGGCCCTCCTATTTCCGACCATCATTTTGAGCCATTCAACAAGATTAACCTGCCAAAGGTGAACCACCAAATACCTGTTAGTAAATACAAGAAGCAACAGCAACCAGGAGAAAAAAGGAGTACTTAACCCTGAGTCTCTATTAGTGAAGTTAGTAAAAGAAATTTAATGCATTGCATCACTCTCTTTCAGTACCTCACTAGCAGGACGGCTGTAGTCCACAGGATCTCTACCAGTGACTGCTTCTAGCACTAGAACACCAAAACTGTAAATATCGCTCTTCTCATTTAACATTCCAGTATTAGCATATTCTGGAGCCACATAGCTGAAATTCAAGTGAGAAACAAAACTGAGTATCTAATTGTGGAAACAACTCAACAAATGCAAAGGTGGATGGAGTAGGAGTAAAATATCTTCAACTAGAGAAGTTCATACCCAAATGTACCCATGACTCTGGTGGTTATGTGGCTCTCTCCTGAGTCCAAGAGTTTTGCCAATCCAAAATCAGAGACCTTGGCGTTGAACTCGTCATCAATCAAGATATTACTAGACTTTATGTCTCGGTGGACTACTTTAGGTTCTATGGCCTCATGCAAGTAAGCAAGCCTGCAAATAAAACAAATTCCACGTTAAGGTGTGCAGTATAATTTGCCGTTTATCTCCTTTTTCACTGATAATAGAAATAAGTAAAAGTTATTAAGAAAGAGCCAGAAAAGAAGGCTTATAGCTATTACTAATAAGCAACTACTACCTTTTAGGAATTAAAAAATACAAAAAAGATTGAGGCAATGCCGCATTGGCTTGGAGTAAAATGAGTTAGAAGAGTGTTTGCAGCAGTAAAAGGTTTATTAAGGAAAATGGAATGTCATGTGAAATAATTGGAGAAAAGATTAAACTGTGTAGCAGATTTAATGAAACTTACGCTTTTGCAGTACCAAGGAGGACCTTCATACGGGCTTCCCATGTAAGAGTACCATATTGTCTCATAGCGCCATGCAGCCACTGCTCCAAGTTTCCATTATTGACGTACTCGTAAACCAGCATCCTTCGTAGCCAAAACAAAGTAAATGATAAGGAAAGCATAATTAAGCTGAAATCATGGTGGTAGACTATTCAAAATAAAGAGTCATAGCATACAAAACTTTAACATACTTAGAGAAATTCCACAATTTAATCTGGAAATACCTGTGAACACCTTCAATGCAATAGCCAAGAAGACGCACTAGATTCTTGTGTCTAACATGACCAATTGCTTCTACTTCAACGCGAAATTCTTTCTCCGCTTGGCCGCTGTGGAGCAATTCATATATCGTTAGACCGTAAATAATACACTCATGGAGATGAATGTACAGAACCTTAGAATTACTTAAAAGCCATACTCACAGATTATTTAGGAGCTTCTTCACAGCTACTTCTGTCCCATTGATCAACCTGCCCTTATAAACTACACCATATCCACCTTCACCAAGCACATTCTCTGCAGAGAAACGACTTGTTGCAAGTTCAAGATCTCTAAGCGTGAACCAGTGGCCCCACCCGAGCTGTGAGATCTCTGGCAAGCCAATCAAAGGAGAAGGCATTGCAATTCCATAGGATGGTTGTTTCCTCACTGTCCCTGAACTCCCCTCTTCCCCTGACTGCGAACTAAAAGCCCTTTCGTTATGATATATTGAACTGCATTGGCTGATATTATCAGCATCACTTGATTTGCTCCTACCCAAATGGACTAACATCTTTTCCGATGTCGTTTCATTTGATTTATCATTAATAGTCAGAAATAAGCTTTGAGGATGATCGTGAACATTTGCAGCGCCAACTCTATCAACCTTGATATCCTTGGAAACATTGGGTATTTGGCAATGTGAATACCCGTCCAGTGTTCTCCTAGATTTTCTCCTACACGTTATCCATATTGACAACATACAGAGTATCCCAACGATAAATACACCAACACATAAGCCCATCACAACCCATAATTTGAGACCTAAAAATGATGTCTTTTTAGACAATTCACTGTTTAAGTCCCCAGAAGACATTTCCACAAATTCTGCTTTGTCCTTCAAATTGCAGAGTCAGATTTACTCCATTGCCTCCTGTATCCCACTAACAATTTAGGTCACTGTGAAGAGGAGTAACATCACTCACACATATCAACAGCTGTAGCATTTCTACAATTTGTGGCTTTGTTTTACTTCTTTTAACACTTTACTGAAACAAAGTAGTTGGTAGTGTCTAAATTAATTACACTTCCAAGTACAATTAGTTAAAGATAAGACATTGACAGGGCAACTAAACTGGTGGCAGCTGACATCAAGATACAACTATCCACAAAAGCATATACTAGTAATTAGATTAAGAACAGTGACAAATTACAATGAAACACTTTCCCTTCCTGATTGAAACAAATCAAGAATTCAGGTAAAAATCACTAATTTAAAACAAGTTTAAATCTTTTCAAAATGGGCATAAATTAAAGGAAAGAATGACTTAAAACTGAAGTAAGAGAATGAAACCAGATGTAAATCCAATAAAGTTGTTACCTTTACACAAAGTGATCTATAGAAACCAGAGTTAATTAACCCCCTTGATCTTCTTCTTTGAGAAGCAAAGGAAATGCCTCTTTTTGAACCAACAGAGACTCAAAACGCATAGATATGCCAATGCAGAAAGGAAAACTAAAGAACCCCACAAAAGCCAAGAGAAAAAACTAAAGGGTGTTTGGCTGAAGTGGACCACAGGGAATAAACTGCGGCCAGACAAAAATCTAATCTTTGTAAGGCCAAATGCAGAGAGAGAGAAAAAAAAGTTTATTTTAATGGTGGGTAAAAATGGGTTGGTGGGTAATGTGAATGTGTAAGCACTAGGGACCTCAGAAAGCTGTAAAGGTGGAAGCTTGGTTTGCAATGGAGGAAATCTATGCTAAAGATGGAGAGAGAGAAAGAGAGAGAGGTGAGGTTCTTGATTTGGGGTGGGTGGTGTTGAGAGAGAGAAGAGAAAAGAGAACAGTAAAGGAAAAGCAAAATATATGAGAGAAATGCATTTATGGTTGGATGGCAAAAGAATTTATGAAAAAAGTGAAAACCCCAACAAAAACAAAAACAAAAAAAGTGGAAAAGAAAACATATGAATGTGAAGGAGAGAAGATGAGGGGGCTTTTTCTTTTGGGGAAGAGAGTCAACTCAATCTAAGCTTAATGTAATGACAAGTTTGATTTGACTATATTGCCCCTTAGCCTAAAACCAGTTCTCTTTATTTTGTCATTAATGATACATACACATAGAATTGACCTCTTCTCTTCACAGCTGATGCTATGAAAAAAACAGGTTTTTTAGGCAAAAATGACCTGACCCTATGAACACCTCACTAAAATTGACTACTTTACACCCAAAACATGGCTGGCAATCACTGTACTTAAGCAACCTACATAAGCTACTACTACTGCCTACTGGTGTCTGACAACTACAGTTTTGATTTTTTTTCAAGAAATTTTTTGAGGTCACTTTTAGGTTATAACTCATGATTTTGTAATTGTGTACGACATGTTAATTTTATGTATGTCATCTTAAGTAATACAGCAAAGGTACGAAATACTTGACATGATTCATGAGCTAAATTGACCAACTTTTTATTTTATTTAAGGTGTTGTTATTGTTAAGAGTCCCACAGTAACAAATTAATTAGTAGTACTTGTTTTGATAATTTAAAATTTTCATAACATTCGAGACACGTGTAATCGTGCATGTGTGTCTAGTAAAAAGAAAAGACGATAACTGTATAGATGACAGCAAACATAATTTTCTACTTCATTTCAACATTAGAAACCATGTCTCAAAAATTTGAAAAGGAAAAAAATGATATCTTTCATTTAAATTTGGACAAGGGGATTAGTTTGAACAACTTATTCTAAGCAGGCTTAAATTTTGAAAGAAGTTAAAATTAGCTCACTTTTACAATCACGGTAATAAGATTGCAAAGTTGCAAACACAGTAGTGACACTATATTTAAACAAAACAGCTTTTTGTTTCATCTTTTTGTAGTTATTAGAGTATTTCTCTGTCATTATACTAAATTTGTGATTTCCATGGATGTGATATTTCTTTCCCAAAGAAAAACCACTTCTATTTTTGCCACTATATTCTGTAGTTATTTTCAATATATCTTTTCTCTTTCTTTTGGAGTATAATATTATGGTAGCAGTATTTTCTAAGAATGAGAACGATTTGTCAAACTTACGCAGATTTATTATTGATGTCATGACTATTCCTTTGACCAAAACCTGGTATATTTAAAACATTTGTTACAACGGCTCACAAGGGGTAAGTTAGTAAATTCACTTAGATCAACCTCCCTCCCATTGAAAGATCCCTAAAACTCAGAAATATAAAAGAACACCCACCCTTCCATCGCCGTAACCTGAGGTCAACACCAACAACAACAAACTCAGTATAATTTCACAAATAAAATTTAAGATAATAATGTACGCAATTTTATCTCTATGCGGAGAAGTTATTTCCGATAGATAGTATTAAAAAAATATACAATAATGGATAAATTAGGAAAAGAAAAAAAATACTAACAATAGCAAGATAAACACCATAGCCCCACCCTCCAAAAGAAAACAACCCCAAGATTGTAGAAATACAAAAGAACAAATATCTATTATAAATATTTATTCGATGTTTATATTAAATTATCTTAATTTTTTATATTTTAAGTAACTAATAAAATAATAATTTATGCTTAAATGATAGTATAGATATTATCATTTATTTATCGAATTAGTATAAATAACAAATAATCGTATCTTCATTTTTCTAAAAAGCATCTAAACCCTCCTTTGGCAAGCCCCAATCCCCGGCGGGGAGAGAGGGGGTATGGCTTGGAAAAAGCCTTTGCTTAGTGAACAAATGTGACTTTCTTAAATATGATTATGGCATGGGAGGAGAGATAAAAAGCCACTATTAGATGAGGAACAGAGGCTTTGATTTGAAGCATAAACTTTTTCATTAAAGTATGTTTCTGACAAATCCTCTCTAATCTTTTCATACTTTAAACTTGATTAATAATTAAGTGAATAGGGTATGTGCTTATACTAATTAAAGTGGCACAGTGGGCGGGTTCTATTATTTAGCCCGAATTTTGACCCGAATGGATTATCATCACTACTTAGTCGTCTAATCATATGCATCTCACATGGGAAAGTAGGATAACCCTCATTAGCTTGTTTCACAGTAACAAAACCTTGCACGTGCACCACATGAATGGCACGTGGAATTACTCTTAACTTTTTAATCCTTTTCTTTTTTATATTTGGGTGCGTAAGTGTTTGCCATTAATCAGTAGGATATGTAAAACATTTCAAACAGTATCGATTTATTTGTTTATTATATGTTGGGATCGAGTTCATTGCAATAATGATATCATGTATCACTGCCTTAAAATTCTCAATGATTTTCTGAAGAAATTCCGATATTTAAATGATACTGGTGGAGTTTCAACGTTAATAAATGAACTCTAGGCTGTTGCTTCCTTTTCTATTGCTTTCTCTTTTTACACATACAGTCTGCACTAAGTTTAATGAGATTTGTGGACTAGTTTATTTGTAGCAATAAAGCAATTGACAAGTAATGGGCTTTCTCAGTTAGTCAGTTGCATCTGACTCTTTTATGGGAACTTTTCATAATTGCTTATAGATTCAAACAACATTTCATAATATACAACCACAATAAAATTTTCATATTATACAACTTTTACGTATAATCTTAAAATATGGTAGAATCCCTATAGAAAAGAATGCAAACTGTAACGTATCTCATTTCTCGTCCCATCCCATAATTAATGTTGGGTTTTTTAAGCATAAATATAGCTTAAAAGAGGGTGAATGGGAAATGGAGGGAAATTGAAAATATTTGAGTTTTCCTCCTTGACAAAGGGATATTGTCCCATATTGGAAGAGGAAGAGATTTTGATAGGTATATATACAATTGCACATCTTCTAGCTATTAAAGAGTTAAGAAGAAGGCAAGCCTCGCTCGGCTTCGGCTTCGGCTTCGGTCAAATGATCGATTGATTGATTAAACGGAGTATTAATATTAAATCCAAACGTAATAGTATATGCCCTTCACTTTTTGTAAAAGACATTTACAAAACAGTTTGCACCTCTTCAGAAGAAGAGTTTGTACCTCTTCAAATCTGAAGAGTTGAAGAACAGTTTGCATCTCTTCAGATTTGAAGAAACAGTTGGCACCTCTTTGGATTTGAAGAGTTGCACCTCTTCAGATTGAGCTCAACGTTGGCTATAAATACCAGTCCATTCTCTCAGTTTTTCCATACGAATTTCTGACTTCTCCTCCTTTCTTCTGCATTGTTTTAACTACAAACAAAGCATCAGTAAGTGTGATTTGCTACCGATTTTGTGTTTGCTGAAACATTGGTGTTTGGAGTATCGCTACACCAGTGTGTAATTCGTTCTATCCTGGGAGGAAATAATCCACAACCGTGGGTACTAGGAGGGGATTAAATTTCTTAAGGAAACACTGTGAATTCAGTGGGCTCGGATTAAATTCTGTTTCATTTACATTTATGTTATTTTATCTTCTCCATAATTATTTTACAAATACAGAAAAACAACAAGCTTAAGGAATTTAATCTTTTCTGTATTTGTGTTATATTCACTGTTTCTGGAGACTAAAACCTGTGTGGTTTTCTACTCCAGTAGAGATTAAAATCTACGTGATTTTAATATTTGTTTGTGTCATTCTTTTACAGAAATGACGAACGACAACGGGAACCAGACTGTTCCTATGGTAACTGCCAACGCATCGACAAGCCGAACACCACCGGCATTAGCACCGACAGAAAAACCCGAAAAATTTTTCGGGATTGACTTCAAGCGCTGACAGCAAAAGATGTTCTTCTACTTGACAACTTTAAGTCTGCAGAAGTTCATTACGGAAGATGTTCCTGTTCTGCCCGACGAAACTCCAGAAAAT